GGTACGAGCGCCCGAGATACCGAGAGGCAGAAAAACCCTACGACGGCACGAGCGGACGGCTGCGACGCTCGGTCCGAGCGAGGAAGAAAGGCAAATGCGAACRCTCGCGTCAAAAAGGGGCCGGCAAAGCTAGAGACGGCTACGAGGAAGGGGCCTTCGAAAGAGATCGGCTGCCGTAACGACGCGAGRAAGACGAGGCTCAAACAGCGTCGGGAAGGCGCGACGCGAGACCGGCCTCCGAAATCGAGGACGCGGTCGACGAGGCCTCGACGACGAAGACGACGAACGGTCGAGCCGCCGAGCCGGAAGGACGCGACGTCCCCGATCCGCGTTTGCGGTACGAGATGGGAGCCGCCGGCGYGTCGACGACTCGGGCCGAGGTGAGAGACACGGGGTGCCTACGGCACTAAGCGCTGTGCAGTGCCAGGTTCGTTCTGGAACACAAAGAACAAGAACGAGCTCAAGACGTGAACAAAAGACCGACCAGCTACAACACAGACCATACAGACAAAGGCTGGAGCTGCCTGTCCGAGCGCGCTCGCACTTTCTCCCCCGAAACACCCAAAAACACTCGCTTCCCACACTACTCATCCACAAGGGGCATCCACACAAAATGGTGTGGCAGCAGGCATACAAGCACACACCCGCACACACCCATCCCACCATCTGCTATCCCTCTACATAGCCTTGGTAGGCTGCCAGGTCATCACAGGACTTCAAGAGTCATTCCTAATTGGCAGAGGCGGGCCCTACGAGCTCCTGCGGGAGAACTCGTACACCTTCATCGGCCGCTCCCCTAGAGCGGCTACAGCTACAGCTGAATGAGCCCCTGTCCGCTCATTCTCCCGGACAAAACCGCTCCGCCTCTGCGCTCCCCTAGAGCAGCTAGGGCCGAATGAGCCCCTCCCTGCCGGTGCCTGGGTTTTGTACCCCTGGCCCCGCCCACCGCCCTTCCCAGCGGCCCTTGCAGTGGGAGGGGCTCGCTTCGCAGCTATAAATACCGCCAGCTGGGCGGAGCCAGGGCTTTTGCTTCCCTAGGTGCGGTGGAGGGTGCGTAGAAGGGAACCTCCTCGGGCCTGAAAGAGACTCTCGAGGTGACCGCAGAGACTTCATAGTCTAGTTTTAGACTGTGAGGAAGTCTGTTATGAAAACTCTTTTATGCTGCCTACTCCTAGACTTTGGATTAAAAGAGCTTTATGGGGGAGTGAAAGACAGTTATTGTGGGCAGGGGAGGAAAGAAGTTTCAGTGGGGAAGAAGGAGGAAGACTTTTTTTGAGGAAAAAGGAGAGCGATTGGGAGAAGTAAAGAATGGAGAAGAGAGGAAGAGTTTTTGAGGAGAGAAAAAGATTTATTACGTGAAGAATCAGCGGGGAACGGAGAGTTAGGGAGAAGAGAGGGAAATATTAGCAAGGGTAGAAGGGGAATTATTTGCGGGGGAAAATAAGAATGGGGAAAAAAATACTGGGGGGAGAGAAAGAATTACTAATGAGAGAAGGGGAGGGGCGCTACTAGACCTGATACTAACAAACAGAGATGGTCTAGTGGAAAATGTGAGGGTTGGGGGCAGTCTGGGCTGCAGCGACCACGAGATGTTGGAATTCAYRATCCDGCRTGGAGGAGGTGGGGCGAGAAGTAGAATAGCTACCCTGGACTTCAAGAGAGCCAACTTCGACCTCTTCAGG